AACATACAGGACGAAAAATGCACTTTACTCTTAAAAATATATAACATCAACTACGCTCAACCATATTCTAATATACCTTAAATATATTTAATATCTTGAACTCTACATATCATTACTATGTTTTTAAGGTAGTAGTATTAGTTTACATAACCATACGTATTAGTTCATTTTAACATTAGGCATAGATCCAAAAAACATGTTAAAAAAATATTTATTATGAATAACCTATTTAAATTAAGTTATTAGATGAATATATGATGATGGTGAATGCTGGCAAAATTTTAAAAATGATACATCAAGTTAGGCGTTGACAACAAAAGAGACATTTTGTCGTCCCTCACGGAAAAAGAAACATGTAGTTGATGATTTGGTCAAAAAAGATACATTAATCACCCTACCTGATAAAAAAGCTGACGTGGTCGGATTAGGTAGTGATGTGGCATTATAACTTTCCTTAATTTCCTACGTGTTATATACGTGACGTGATGTGACATCATTATCTCCAAATACACAACTGCACATAGATAAAAAATATAAAAATAAAATAAAAAATCCAAAAATAAATAAATATAAAGACACATTAGTAAAATGAGTAAAAAATAAAATAAAAATAATAAAAATAATAAAAAAAATAGGAAAATATAAAAATAAAAAATCCAAAAATAAAAAATATAACAAATATATTTTGTTAACTATATATTAATAAAATATTAAAAAAATTATATTTCTTTAATATATATTACAAAAATAGTAAAAAATAAAAAAAAAATATTTTGTTAATATTTCGTTAAATATAGATATAGTTCGCTAATATATATTAAAAATATTTGTTAATAATAAGAATTATAAATAATTTATTATATTATCTAATATAATAAGTTACGTAAAATTTTATTTACTTAATATATATATAAATATATTAAATATAAATATAAATCACAAAAATATAAATTTATATTAAAATAATATTTTAATATATTTCAAAAAATATATTTTAAAAAATATTTTTATTTATTTAAATATAAATTTATATATGTGGTTTATATTTATATTTAATATATTTATTTATATTAAATAAATATAATATTATGTAAAGTAATATATTAGATAATATGATAAATTATATATAATTATTCTTATTAACGATTTTTTTTCTTTTTTAGTATTTTTTAATATATATTAGTGAAATATATTTATATTAAACGAATTATTTTTTATTTTTCAATATATATTAACAAAATATAAATTTTTTAAATATTTTATTAATATATGGTTAACAAAATTGAACGAAATATATTTCTTATACTTTTTTTTTTATTTTTGGGTTTTTTTTCTATTTTCTATTATTATTATTTTATTTTTTCCAAAGTGTTTTTATTATTTATTTATTTTTGGATTATTTTTATTTTTATTTATCTATGTGTAGTTGTGTACTTGGAGAGAAGGATGACACATCACGCCACATATATACCACGTAGGAAATTAAGAAAATTTATAATGCCACGTCATTATCTAACCTGACCACGTCAGCTT